CAGGAGGACACGGTGCTGGGCAGGTGCTGGTCCTCCTCCCACAGCCACACCCGGTCGCCCTGGAAACCAGAGCACATTCAGCCGTCTGCCTCACGCAAGATGGCCGCCGGGGCCTCAGGCCCGCTGCCGGGGGCTCAGGCCCGCCCCTAAACGGGGAGGTTAGCTAAATAAAGGAGGTTCTGATGGGTGTGAAAGCGTTTGGAGGATTTTCTGTTGGAGTCTTTCTTTTTAAATTCCTTTTTTCTTTTGAAAACAGGATTTTTTTGAGCTGTTTAACTAAAGTTTCTGTTTAGGAAAGCACGGGTTTTCCAGGTCCAGCAGCTCCTAACCAGCTGGGACCCAGTTCTGAGCAGAACCAGGAACCAGGACCAGTTCAGTCCAGTTCAGAACCAGGAAACAGGAACCAGGACCACACAGAAAATAACCCCCAAGTTGCACAAAAATATATCCACCAAAAAGACAAAAAATATCTTGAAAAAAGGCCATCACACACAAAAATACAAAAAAAAAACAGGTACTGGTCTCCTGCTGGGGCCCAGAACCAGAACCAGAACCAGAGCCAGGACCAGGACCAGGACCAGGACCAGGACCAGGACCAGGACCAGAACCAGGACCAGGACCAGGACCAGGACCAGGACCAGGACCAGAACAAGAACCAGAACCAAGACCAGAACCAGAACAAGGACCAGGACCAGAACCACAACCAGAACCAGAACCAGAACCAGGACCAGGACCAGGACCAGGACCAGGACCAGGACCAGAACCAGAACCAAGACCAGAACCAGAACCAGAACCAGAACAAGGACCAGGACAAGGACCAGGACCAGGACTAAAACCAGAACCAAGACCAGAACCAGAACCAGAACCAGAACCAGAACCAGAACCAGGACCAGGACTAGAACCAGAACAAGAACCAGAACCAAGACCAGAACCAGAACCAGGACCAGTTTTGGATCCAGATAATAAAAAAAAACTATAAGGATCTGTGTTTTAAAACAATAAAAACAGCTGTTGGATGGATTAAAGCTTCTTTCAAAGAGTAAAAAAAGACAAATAAAAGAATAAAAAAACTTATATTAAGATTCTGGTATCAAATCTGATTCACAGGGAGGATTTCAGCCTCTTTGGAGGAGCCGTTCCCAGGCTTATTTAGTGATTTAACCCGGTTAAACTCAGTTAAAGTTCCACCAGGAAACAAGCAAACGACCAAAACACAAACTGGGTCTCAGATTTTACACAAAAAGAAGCAAAAAAATCTGATTTCTGGAGGAAAAATGTTCAGAAACGAGTTCAAGGAGCAAAAAAAGGAGAGAAAAATGCGTCTGAGTGCATAGATAGATAGATAGATAGATATATCTTTTTGTTCATCTACAAAAAGACAAAAACAACCAAAAATAAACAGAAAATAAGCCAAGAGTTGCACAAAATATACTATAAATCACCCAAAAAGACAAAAATAACTTTAAAAAAAGGCCATCATACACAAAAACACCGGAAAAAAATAAATAAATCTACATCATGGAGAGAAAAATGGGTCTGAGTCCAGAGATAGATAGATAGATTGATAGATAGATAGATAGATAGATAGATAGATAGATAGATAGATAGATAGATAGATAGATAGA